TTTTTTTTTTTAAAGATATTCTTTTCTTTTACCTTGTTTCGAATTTCTCCATGTACTGTTTGGAATTAATTGTTTACTTTGTCAGATGGCGGCTAAACCACTTACAAGTGAAGCAATTGCGCTCACAGAAAAGAAAATGGATATGACGTTGGGTGAGCTATTAGCTGTTTGTGCCTTTTGAAGTTCTTTTCTTTTGGGGAAAATTGTTTATTGATTAGTGTTATTTTCTATGAACTTAGATGATATAATTAAAATGTCAAAGAATTCAACTAAAGCCAAGAAGCAGCAAAGGGCTCCAGTAAGAATTTTTTTACTCTAGAAACACATTTTTATTATTTCACATGTTGTAGTTGATATTCTAATATGTTTTTTCTCTACCATTAGATTAAAAGTCAGAAACCTGTGAATAATGCTGCAAAAGAGAAGGCTTTGAAGGTGCGACAGTATATGGACTCACGGTCCTCTCTTAGACAGGTGTGTGATTTTTATTGCTGTTGTTGATAAATTTATATATGTTCTGGGTGCAAACATTGATGTCAAATTTTTTATCCTGTCTGCTCCATGTGTGTTAATCAGGGGGTTCTAGCGCAAAGAAGGTCAAATTTCCAGGGGAACCGATTCCCTTTGGCAGCTGAGGCTGCACGTAGGGCTGCAATTGCCCCAATTCGGGTTAGAGCTTTTAATGGTAGCAGGGTGGCTAATATGAATAAACCAAGGTATAAGGATTTTGAGCTTAGCTCATATTGTTACTTTATGCAAGCAGCTTTGATTTCTAATAGCTGGAATAGTTATGTTTATAACAACTGCCCATCTTATCGTTGAATCATTGCAGCAGGTAAAACATGGATCTTCTACAATATTGATGACCTCTGCAATGTGGTCCTGGTTAAACTTATTTCAAGTTGCATATTATGTGGAACTCCCAAATATTTGATTAGGTTTCTTGTGGAAAAGTGGCCAAATTTGGGATTATCTTGAAGTATTGGCTTTTTATTGTTCATACTACCCAAAATACCATGCTTGTAGCATAAGCTTCGTGTCTGTGGTTATTTCATTTTTTTCATGGGCATGCCTAATTTGGAATCAGTTTTCTGCCTTTTGGGTTGGATATTGAAGTATTTGAGTAGCAAGTTGTTGATTGTTGTTATCATGTTTGAAGGAGGTGGATTTAGGACTACATGACACTGTGTTTTGATGTTTGCAATGTGCAAGAGCTGTATGGGTGCGTGCAAAGATTTTGTGTAGGTGGCTTGTTACCTGATTGGACGAACTCTTCACCTGTCTAGAGATGTCAGTTGGGTAGTTTGTGGATACGCTAATGGACTATGTGTTTCTATCTGCTCCGTCATTCCATTGGTTTCGATGTTCTTCATCAAGTAGTTTTGGCCACTTCAGATTCTTTGATGAATTTAGTTATTGGGAGCTTATGAGAGGTTGCATATCCTTCAATGTACACTACTAGTTTTAACTAGTCTGGAGGCGTGTGGTTTATCTAACTAGCCCTTTTTTCCAGTTGACTGTTGATACTTATTTTTACTCATCATTTCTAGGATTTCTCTTACCTGCTAAATTTATGGCTGGGTCTTATCATGTTTTAAGGAACATGGATTGATTGACACAATGATACTCAAACTAAAATGGATAAGTTTGGCGAAGAGAACAGATTGCTGCCTCTGGCGCCATATTGAAGTCTTTGAGCTCTAACTAACCAAGCATGAAGAATACTGGGTTGGGGAATGTTGAAAGGGCTAAGTTGATTTTACCTAGTTGTTTAGATGTGAATTTGACATCTCTTTCGCACCCTTCATGGCATCTACGAGATGTGTTGATTTTTTTTCCAAGATGGGCTTGGAGGTTGCTCGAATGGAAGTTTGCTGCTTGTCCGACAGTTTGGAGAATTCACCTTTGTGGTTTTCCCCAGTTCTGCTCCTGCAGGGGAGGGCTTTCACTCTGTTTTTTGTGATAGCAAATCATTTCCAGCGTTTGGTTTAGACTCCCAATTATGTTGTTGAATTGGAAAGCTTTTTGGAATAGAAAGGAGTTATATTACAGATGGTTTGTCTTATCTTTCTGTTTATTGGAAATAAATATAGTCTTCCTATGATGGTAAGATTCCCAAGTCTCAATGCTATAGTACCGGTTGCCGGCATGTTGGATGAAAGCTTGTCTCTTGTTGGACTTACCTCTCTGATTGTTTTGTACTGTTTCAGTTAAGCATTCATGGCTTTCACTTCTGGGTGCAGGATTGGAGCACCACCTGTCCAAAGGAGGGCTGTAAATGGAGGCTTTGCTGCCAAGGTATTCTCTTATTTCAAAGGAAGTTATATGGTTGGTTGGCTTTGTAATGTTTTCCCTTTCCTGAGTTGGGACATAGATTGTTTCTTAAATTGGTGCCATTTTAACAACTTGGCTTTGCACATTAATTGTGTACAATTTCAATTAGATTGGGGATCTCTTGTCAATCCCCAAGTAGTCATTTATATGAATTGCTTGTTGCGTTTGTTATACCGGGTTGATGGCTAGTGAGCAATTTTCATCTTTATAGCCACATCATCATCATCAGCAGCAGCAGCAGCAACAGCAGCAGCAGCAGGAGCAGCAAGGAAATGTAGCAACTAAGCAAAGGCCTCAAACGCTGGATTCGCTGTTTGCCAATATGAAGGAACAGCGAATGAGGGTGTTGTCACGTCAGAACAATACTGCACAACGCAATGGTGGTGGCCGGCAAAGAATGCCTTGGGGAAGGGGCCGGTTTGGCAACTGATGTGTGCGAGATGTATCGCTTAAGGAGAAGTGTAGAGCCCTCTTCTATCCTGTCATTTCTGCCTACTATGTGGATGCTAAGCTGAGCATGCTTTATATTGGCGTCTTGTTTTCAACATTTGCTATCAACTTGCTCTTCTAGCTTTTTATGTGAGAATGTGACAATTCAGTTGTACTTTTTAGGTTCTGCTGAACTAGCGATGTATAGTGGTTTTCTTTCAATTGCTATTGGTTCTTGGAACTGTGCCTTTTGAGCACTTGGGGAAATGTAATGGTGTTTTTAGGCAATGAAACATTCATTCCAGAAAAATCATCTTCTAACCCACGGGGCTTGTTAAGAAGTTAACAAATGGATGGATCGTGGAACCTGTCCAGGCGGCAGCGTACACTTAGCCTGGCCCCCCAACTATAACTGAAATGTGATACGCTGATTTAAAATATGCAGAGTGGAAAACAAGTATCTCTGCTTCTACCGAGCTCATGTGATCATGATATCTCGTGGGGAAAAGGCTATTGTGCTAGTGCTTAGAGAGGTGATTTATTGCTAGTCCTAGGTCTCTCAGTAAACGGTGTTTAACAGTGCCCACCTAGAGAGGCCATCGAGGAATATAATTTCTTGTGTCCGTATATTTGTATTGCATCGACCTAGTGATTGAGCAAATGGTGTCTTCTTTATCCGATGCCAAATCCGTTCGGTGTTTGTTTTGGGCAAGATGTGGTGGAGTAAATTGCAGTGACTTTTAGTATGACAGCAAGCCAGCAGTTAGGGGGTGTAGCTCATATGGTAGAGCGCTCGCTTCGCATGCGAGAGGTACGGGGTTCGATTCCCCGCACCTCCAATTCAGTATTTTTAATGCGGCCTTTTTCCTATCTTGTAGGTGGTCACCGTTCAAAGGGAATGACGCTTATCCCTTAAAAAAAACACTATTTCCGTGTGTCCTTTGAACCTCTCGTTCCTCATCATCTTCATCCTTCATCCAAAGTGAGAAAAACAAAAAGTTAGTTTATTTTTTTTTTAAAGAAAACACTCTAGTTCTGGTTCTAAGATTTGTAAGGGCAAAGGGGAAAATAAAATGACTCTGAACATAGCTTCTTCATCTTCGCTGTCTCGCTTTTCTCCTCCAATCTTCACAAAACTGCCCGAACATTCTCCAAACAACAGCAGCAGCAACAGCAACGTTACTCTTTTGTCTCTCCTTTTACGCACCAATTCCCTCTCTTCTCTCAAAACTAACAAACCTTTCAAACCCAGAGCTTCATTTAAAAACACCCAATCAAACGGCGTCCTTGAAGAGGAGGAAACCTCCGTTTTAAACGAGGAGCTACTGAGCAGAGTCTCGGCTACTAAAGATGCGGACGAAGCAATGGAAATGATCGCTCAGAGTCAGAGTGAAAGCAGTGAACAACGATATGGCGGCGTTGTGAGTGGCTCTGATTGTCGTTTGATAATAAACGCTGCGCTTGATCGTAACAATGCTGACTTGGCTTTGTCTGTTTTCTACGCCATGCGTTCCAGTTTCGACACAGGTTTACTTCTTTTCTTTTTTCTTATTTAACTTTAAATCACGAAAAACATTGTCTTTCTGTTTTGGTTATTGAGTGTTTTTGGTGATAGGCGTAAGTGAGAATGGGCCATTTGTTGATAGATGGAAATGGTCAAGACCCGATGTCAGTATCTACACTGCATTAGTTCAGGGCTTGGCAGTATCGTTAAGGGTCTCTGATGCTCTTAGAATGATCGATGATATTTGCCGAATAGGAGTTTCTCCTGGTGAGGAGGTATAAATGCTAACTTTGTTCTTTCTATTTACTTATAAAAGATGTTCCTTTTGATAACTCTGATTGAAAAAACCTTCTGGGTCTTTTTGGTTTTTTCTTTAATCTTTCGATAGGTTCCTTTTGGAAAGGTTGTAAGATGTCCCATTTGTACCATAGCTGTTGGTGTTGCTCAACCACAACTTGGAATTCAGGTATATACATTGAAGTTTTTGGTACTGGTTTATTGCCCATTCAGTACTTACTACTTCCAGGATTGGAAAGTTTGTTAAGAGTGCTAACGCAGCTACAAAATCTAGGTTGCAGTTGCATAATATTGAACTTTTATGTACACATGCCAACTGCATGATTATGGTGTGAACCAGAGAAGAAAAAATGAAGAATACATTTTTACTTGCCCAATAGATTGATTACTGCAAAAATTCAACGTTCTGTTCTTGTTTCCAAAATATCCTCTTTCTGAATTTCTGCTTGTAAGAGAACAAGCTTTTATCCTCAGGTAGCCTGAATTTTCAACCTGTGTTTCTGCACCTCTATGGAATTTTTTGCATAAATTGTCGATGCTCAAGCCAGAATTCATGCATATTTTACCTAAGATTTTACTATCTATTTCTATGCATTTCTGCAGATTGTATGTTGTGCCAAATGCCGATACAAGTATGAGCTTGTTTCTGGCAACATAGTTAGTGTTGACTCAGAGGAAATCAGGTTGGTTTATTTCTGTATGCTTTACTTTTCTAGGATGTTTGCCTTTTCTCCAGGTGATGTAAACTCATTTTGCTTTACTCATGTCTTTTAAACTTGTTTTCCTTAACTAAGTGAGTTACCAGCCATGGTTTTTAATTTAAGTATGGTTGACTACAGACATGATTTGCTGAATTAATATATAGTGTGTCCATATCTTAACTTGCGAATTTTAAGACACTTCCAAAATACCTTGAAAATGACACATTGCTTTATTCATAAAAGAATACTAGGATCAAGTATTTTACTGGACCACTGTGGTTGAATCTTTTTAACTTGCCATAACTTATGTTGCATAAGCAATTACGAATGCACTACATTTATCAGTTGAAATTGAAAGACTTTAGCAATATTTTCTTTATTTTGGTTTTAATGTTGATAACACAATATATACGTGTATGGTGTTGATGCTGGGATATTCACTTTTTCTAAGGAACTCCTCCTGCCGAACGCAGCATGGAGATTCCAGCATGGAAAAGGGGGCTAAAATCTCTGCAGATACTGAAGCAAAGCATTCCTGCTGCTGTTCACTCTATTGTGGTATGAATTTCTGACCTTGTTGAGTCATTCTGCTTCTCTTATTCGACAATTTGATCTTTTGGATTCAAAACTTGGTTCTTGTGTCAAATTATGATCATTCAAAATGCTACTTGCAATCTTTTTTATTTCATCAGTGAATCTAGTGATCCAATATGTGACAGGATCTTCGGAGTTTTATTCTCATCATTGAAACCAAAACCTGAATGCTCTTTATATGATTTATTACTGTCAGTGGCTTTCTTCACAAATCTTTTAATTTAAGCTGCAAATTCTTGGTTTATGTACTCAGCCCCTCCAAACCTTTTTTAATCAGTTCTATCCTCATCCTCATTTCAGGTACAAACTCCTTCTGGTGTCGCCCGTACGCACAGGTTTGCAACTGAAACAGTTGATCTCCCAGCACAAGAAGGAGAAAGGGTAACCATTGCTTGTGCTGCTCCTTCAAATGTTTATAGAGAAGTTGGACCCTTCAAGTTTAGTCCAAAGGCCCCTAACCTCTACCCTGGAGAACCAATGTGCCTGACAAACCACAAAGATGGCCGGGAATCACAATTATTAAGAGCCCCTGCAAAAGATAGAAACTTGTCCTTACTTAATCCTGCCTTTCTCATTCCAATTCTCTCTGTTCTGGCTGCTGGAGATGCTGCCTCAGGAATAATAGACCCAAGCTTGCCACAATTGCTTTCAGTTGCTGCTGTAGGATCACTTGCTGTTGGAGCAACTTTAAATGCTGTGATTTTTCCCCAATTGAATCTGGTAAGCTATTATCCTGGCTTGCTTTAGTTCTAGCATTCTGCTTGTAAAACCTTTGAACCCTATTATCATCAAGATTCCAACCCTTTTTTAAGGCTATCATTTAATTTCAAGTTTTTCACAGCACTAAGTTCCCACTTTTCTGTTTTAAATGCTAATTATTGCTTGATAGCATACTTCAGTGATTTTAGGTATTATTTGTTATTCATAGCAATCAGGATATGTAGTTCAGCTCCGCAATCTGATTCGGCTATTTCTATGGAAGCCGTTCAGGAATTTTCTCAGAGAGAATAAATGCATACTCATTATTTATTGATGGTGACAGCTTCCTCAAAGATCCGTGGAAACAACTGCTATCAAGCAGCAACTTTTATCACAGTACGACATACTGCAGTCTCGCATCAGGGACCTAAAAGGAGCTGCTGAAAAAGAGGTATGGTCTTGTGAATTGCAACTGTAATATAGTTAACTATTTTCCTAGTTAGGTCCTTCACTTGGGACACTTGGTGCCTGAGTTTCAACTTTGGCCCTAAGGTGCTTGGAATGGAAATCATAGTTTCTCCTATCCTGGCAGTCCGGAAGCAGAATCTTGTTAATTTGAAATTTTTACTATTTTGAAATCTTGCATAGGAAATGACAGAATTCAGGATGTAATTCAGATTAATGTAAATGTCTTTTTCCTGTTAAGCAAATTGAAATGAGCATCTGCAAAGACAGTCATGAAATTTGATACGTGAAGTTGAGTCTTATATGACAGTCAATGAAGATTACGTACTCGGTTTACCTCCTGCTTCTGCAAATGTGTATTTGAAGATTGGCTTTTTAAAAAACTAAGTACGTGTGATTTTGAACTTGAAACTTCAAAATTTATTGTTTGCTACCTGTGAATTTTCTCATGGGAACTTTCATATTGTGTATTGGTGTTGACATATGAGCTTGACTGGATGAAGTCTTAATCTTCTAGATATAAGTTGAAAGAATGTATATTTTGTCAACTCACTTTTTTTTTTTAAAAAAAATATGTATATGGTAGATAAATCGTATTCCTCAATCATTCATTAGCCATAGTTGTTTTCGATGTCACTTCATCCTAGGGTGTTTTGAAGTTTTAATCAAGAAGCTTGTTCGTCATGTGTAGGTTTGGATGTTGGCTCGCATGTGCCAATTGGAGAACAAAATTTTTGCTGTAGGAGAACCTTCTTATCGGTGAAAATCTCTAAGCATTCTTATTACTCCTGTTTTGATTATTATGCCTTCTGCTCTTAAGATGAATATCTTTCTCTTGGCTGTCATGTGTTTTAATATTGCTCAAGCCTCAAGGTCACTTGCTTCATTTTCAGTGGGGTGAAACAATGTTTTCTTTGTTTTCTGTTTCCAGTGCCCGGAGAAGTAGAATCAAACGGGTGCGAGAAGGCTTGGAGAATTCTCTAAGGGGAAGGATTGAACTCATTGATAGTTATGCAAGAGTATGTCTTTCTACCATAAAACCTTAACAAGTCTTCTTTCCTGTTTATTCTTATGAAATGCATCAGGTTGATATATGTGGTATTGTTTATTTGTCAGATCTCTTCAATGATTGAAATTGAGGTAGAAATGGACTCTGATGTTCTAGCCGCTGAAGCAGCAAGCAATGCAGTGAGCACAACTAGTCTCTATACTTTTTCTCTGCATTTACCTGGCTCATTTGATGATTAAATTAAGTGATTTTTTCTGTAGGAAACTATCGCTGAACAGATACAACAAATGATGGAGCTGGAGGGTCTTGAGGAGGCATGTTTCTATCTCTCAAAGCAATTTTCTTTTTACTTATAACCCCCTCATCCACCTCCCCCGCCTCTCACCCCCCCTGGCCACCCTCCCCCTGATAAAAAGTTTGTGGATTTAGACATAGCTCTGTGTTTTGGGACATCCCACAACACTGTGATTGAAATTGGTTGTCCCAAACTCTTGAAAATATCTAATATAAAAAATTCAGAAGTCTGGGAACTGGACAAAAAGACAAGGTTTTACTTGCCAAGAGAACGTATGAAGGTCTTAGCAAGTATAAAAACTCAATTCAACTCCTTACAAAGGCCCTTAGTATTTTATTTTCTTAGCCTACAGCCTACAGGTAGGATGAACCGATGATCGGATGCAACTTTCACTTTCTGGTTCTATACCGCCCAGCTGCTTGTTTCTACTATGACCCTTGGCATGCCATTTCTCTTCTTGCTGGCCTAGTATCTACCATGGATTTGAAACACATGGTGTGGTTTGACTCTTGTTTAGTTTCTTCCCCCCTCTTAATTTCTTCTAACATGTTTATGCAGAAATGGAAACTCCAAGCTGAAGCAAATGATGAGGCAGAAAAATTACTTAGTTCCCAATCCATACCAACCGAACAGATTTAGATATCTAGTTAGTAATCATTTGATTCAAGTAACACTCAGTTAGCATGGTTAAGCATCAATCTGGTGGCAGCATCATTTTCTTTTTGCCCAAGGACATTCCTCTTCGGTTGGATCACTCGAAAATCGGGCCATCGATGTTGGAGATCAAGTGTCTGACAATGATCCATATAACTTCCGAAGCATTTCAATCTATATGCTGGATCGGATGTAGGAGAAGGTGAACAACGGAACCTTGGCACTTGGCTACCTGCCTTAGTCACAGCAAAACGCCATTCCAACAACTTGCTGGATAGCTTGGTTCCGACCGCAGATTCTTGTATATGTAATTGATCCTGGCAGGGCACTTGTAAATTTTGCAGCTAATTTGTGTATTCTAAAACCGAAAAAGCATCAAATCATAATAATTTCTTCTATAATTGAAAATTGGGGTTGAAAAAGTTATGTATCTTCTCTTATCTTTTTCATTCATTGATTCTTGGTGGCATTTAAATTTTTCTATTCGCCCCGACTGTTAGATTCAAAAGAAGTTAAAAATGAATTGGGTTTCACGTCCATCTTCGTGCTGTTGGCCTATCAACAACCAGTCGCCACCAAATTAACCAAGTGCCCCTTACCTCTAGGTGACACGAAACCAAATCCAACTAGGTTAGGTGCAATCTCAACACCAATTGCTTTCTTCTTTTCCTTGTTTGCTTCTTCTGTTTACTTTTTCCTTTTCTCCTTTGGATGCATGGAACCAGGAAGCTGCAGATGGCAATAGCTTTTGCATGCAAAAGTTAGGAATTTGAGAATATATTTATTTATAAGATAAAAAGTAACATGCAACCTCGTGCTGTCCATATTTTACGTGATTAAGTGACTTAAAAGTCTAAACTCTTAAGACTTGGGAAAAAACCCTTCCTCTTTAAGATATTTCCTGTGCCTTTGTCATTGCCCCTAATGATTCCTTTTTTCCTGGTTCTTCCTAGGACTCTGGCTCATTTCCGGGGCATTCACGAACCTATTGCACTTCCGTATCTTATCTTTCCTCTCGCCAAAAGGCAATTATAAAAACAACAAGATTCTCAAAGTTTTGGCAAAAGATGGCCAAAGCCCCACAGAATTTATTCTCTGCCATGAATTGGGTCAACGAAATTACATGATTGGGAATTAGAATTCCCCCTTTTTTTCCCCATATAGACAAACTAGGATATTCCCAATTTATGAAACATTAAATACGGAAATTTAATGCCCTTTCAATCACTTGCCCTGAAGCATCCTTGTCGTGATTCACAGAAACATTTTCCTTTCCTTGTTCATCATAAATGGTTTTATTACCGGCTTTTCAAAGGTATCATTGATGCCGGATTGCACTTTCCCACCACAGGAACTGATTGCGAGTTTATGACACAATGAGGATTTTAACGGAATTAGCATATTAAAGCTATATATTTACAATATTTCATCACCGTGGACCACTTCCAATATTGTGTCTTAATTTCTACCACCGCCCTATCACATGATAATGCAATTTATTCATGCAATTCTCATTGGTACATTTACGAAAAAGAAGTATCATACCACTAATCTCTCCTTTAAAATAAGGAACAGCTTTCAATACAATCCATATGTTCGAGAATTTAAAAGAGATTGCTGTTTGGGTTAAATATGTAAATTAGCAGAATTTCATATCCTGGACTGCAAATTCATTTGGTTATTAATGCTTATTAATTAATTACGAATTAGTATGGTAATTTACTAATTTCTTTGTTCCGTTCTGACTTCTGATTACGTCCCATTGAACTCTTTCTTTTCTAGTCCTCCCAGTAATAGAAAAAAGGTCAATAAATTCACCGATTTTTCTGGAAAAAATAATATAAAAATAATTGAGAGAGTACGAAAACCCCGAGAATATCCCTCTCCCAACGGGGACAAAAAATAAAGTACCAGAAGGTTAGTTTGGTCCAAACCGATCTGAAACTGCCACGTAACCTGTAGACACCTTGGACTTCAAAAGTAGAAAAAATCTCTACACGTGGCCGATCCTCTAAGCTCTTTTTCTCTCCTCAGTCAGAAACGTAAACAAAATCTTCTCCTTTTGTTTCATTTCCTATCTCCTTCCTCTATCTTTTGCTCTCTCCTTTTTCTTTCCAATTCTCGTCCCTTCCAGTATAAATTCCCCCTCTTTTCTCTCCTTTAATTCAAAGGAAAAACAAGAAAGCCTTTACATACGTAACGCTCTGCTCTCGGTTTCTTTCCACTCTCTGGTTTTGTCTTCGGTTATTTTTCTCTGTTTTTTTTCTTAATTGGATCCATCATGTCGAAGAACATTCTGGTGACCGGTGGAGCCGGTTATATTGGGAGCCACACCGTGTTGCAGTTGCTGTTAGGCGGCTACAGAGCGGTGGTTGTTGATAATCTAGATAATTCCTCGGAGGTTGCTATTAAAAGAGTCAAAGAACTCGCCGGTGAATTCGGCAAAAATCTTTCCTTTCACCAGGTTCGTTGAACGGTTGAACTCACCGATTTTCATTTTTTATTCTTTTCCGAGAAAAAGAAAAGAAAATATGTCTGGAGGTGTAATTTTGTAATTATTTTAATGAGAGATTGCTGAGTTGGGTGCCAGAGAAGTAAGGCTTATTTAATTTTATGTTTTCGTAGTTAATTTGGAGTCTATTTGGTTTAAATTTGATTTATATTTAGGCTTAGTTGATAATTGAATTGCTATAGCTGTCAACACGGTGCGTTGTAAAACTTAGGCGGTATGATGTTGAATGCTTTGTTTTTTTTTGAAGGCGAAAAATGGGTGAAATAATTGCCTACAGTAAACGACATTTCACTTTCCAGTTTCTATTTTGTTTTCACATGCTTTTTTTAAAAGCTTTAGTTTTGATTGCTGCAGGACTTAGTGAATCCATTTACTTTTGGCTCTGTTTCCATTGAACTACGATGGTAATTTAGAAGTTATAATTGCTTCTAAAAATTTTTTATCGGAGATTGTTTCAAATGCACATGGAAAAAGTTATGCCTTTTATTGTTGAAATTGATCAGTTTAGTGAGCTACATAATTTGATTTAACAGAGTTACTGAGTTGTCAGGTGAAGATTCCTTAAATTTTTTTATAAAAAAAAGCCTTTTTTTCTTCTTTTTTTTTAATTTATTGAAGCTTTCTTTTGGTTGGGAATGTTTGGATCTATTTCACTAGTAGGCTGTATCAGTTATAAATTGCTTTTGGGATAACATTTAAAAGTTTACACTTTAATTTTTCTATTGTCATTAACTTATACTGGGTTTTAGGGGGAAGTAAATTGTTTTTGCTATTTTAGGATTTTTTTACCTTTTTGGGTACTAAGATTTGTGAACTTTTTATCTGGAAACTTGCACTTCAAGGATCTCTTTGTTTTTTTTTTTTTTGCTTCCTTTTAAGAATCAAATGTATATTTGTCTGATTTTGGCCAATAATCATAATCAATCATGTGCTGTTGAATTATTGTAATAATATTATATCATTAAAGTATTGTTTACATGCCCATGATTTGTTATGAATATAAATCTTTTGATGGTCCTAATATTCGAACCTCTGCTTTCAACTGCAGGTGGACCTTCGGGATAGACCAGCACTCGAAAAACTTTTTGCTAAAACAAAGTACTGTTAGGAATCAATATGTAGTTTTTCTTTCGCTTTTTCCTCTTGCTCAATCTCTAAGGTTATTACATGATTATGTTGCAGGTTTGATGCTGTGATTCACTTTGCTGGGCTAAAAGCAGTTGGTGAAAGTGTACAGAAACCACTGCTCTATTATGACAACAATCTCATTGGAACAATCACCCTGTTGGAACTAATGGCTGCCCATGGATGTAAAAATGTACCTCTCTCTCCCTTCCTTATGTGATATGTTCTGCAGCTACATAACTTTGTTTATTGCAAAAAGAACAAAAATGCGGTTTCTGGCCTTTTGTTGCTTTTCAACTATAAGGAAATCATTAAAACTAGGGTTATGTTTTCTTCTGGATCAATTCTAAGATTAAGTTCATAGACATTAGTGTAACTTCAGAGTGATCATCACTAAGTATGACCCTTTTGAATCTAGAATTAGATTTTGAATTTGTATAATTCGATTAGTTGTGAATTGGATTGTCATTTTTGAGTTTAGAACTTGACCATTCTTCTAATTTATTACATTTCAGCTTGTATTTTCATCATCTGCTACTGTTTATGGCTGGCCAAAGGAGGTTCCATGTACAGAAGAGTTCCCCCTGGCTGCAGTGAATCCATATGGGCGAACCAAGGTATGTACTGAGCCTTTTGTAACTGCATACTCCTTAGCAACTCAGAGAAACAGTATGGATAAAGAAAGAACTGTTAATGGTCAGTATACTTTCGCTGGTTTTGTTGAGGGATCTCTTATGAGTACTTAGACATTTGTCCATTAACTCATTCTCCCATAGTGTCATCTAATCATTACTGACATGGTTGGTCTTTCAGCTTTTCATTGAAGAGATCTGTCGTGATATCCGCAATTCTGATTCTGAATGGAAGATCATACTTCTAAGATATTTTAATCCGGTTGGTGCACATCCTAGTGGCCATATAGGGGAAGACCCCCGTGGTATTCCAAACAATCTCATGCCTTTTGTGCAACAAGTTGCTGTTGGCAGGCGACCAGCATTGACAGTGTTTGGAAATGATTATTCAACAAAGGATGGTACTGGGGTAAGTTTTGATTTATAGTTGCCAACTTTATGGATCTTTTTGAAATATAATCTATCCAGTAGGCTAAAGTTTTTGTCAGTATAACATGATGTTAGATTCCTATTGGGTCTTGTCTTTTTCATATTTAAGAATTGGTTTCAGATAGTGAAATCCGTTTTTGACTCTATATAATTTTGAATTATCCAGCTTCCAGTTATAACTTTTTTTCTCAATTAAGCTTGATACCTTTAAACTCCTAATATCTTCTTGGATTCCCTCTATACTTATTCTATACTCCTTAACGCTGGATATTGATGCCATTTACCACTTGCCACATCATTCTTTAAGCAAATCCTTTCTTCCATCTAACATGCTAGGCCACCCCCAATGAAGCTCTGGCTCCTTTT